CCACTAAAACACTTCTTTTAAGTCATATGCTATTTTCTCTGCCTAGAAAGCTTCTCCCTACACCACTATGCTTTGTCTTTAACTCTTACTTGTCTTTCAAATTTCAGCTCAAGAATTACTGCTATCTCATCTGACATACTTGTTTCTGTTGCATCCTTTAAGAAATATACAATTATGGGGCTGGAGAGATGACTCAGTGATTAAGAGCAGTGATTGCTTTTGCAGAGGACTCAGGTTCAGTTCCCAGTACCCACATGGTGACTAACAACCATCTGTAGCTCCAGTTCTAAGGGATCCAATGCCTTCTTCTGACCTCCAAGGTCATTCCATGACATAGGTGCACTTACATACATGCAGGCAAAACACTTATGCACATAGAATTTTAAATACTAATAAAAAAAATGAACCATCTGTAACTCCAGTTCTAAGGGATCCAACGCCTTCTTCTGACCTCCAAGGTCATTCCATGACATGGGTGCACTTACATACATGCAGGCAAAACACTTATGCATACAGAATTTTAAATACTAATAAAAAAAATTTTTAAGAGAAATAGTAGCTGGGTGTGGTGGCATACGCCTTTAGTCCCAGCACTTGGGAGGCAGAGGCAGGTAGATCTTTGTGAGTTCAAGGCCAGCCTGGGCTACAAAGTGAGTTCCAGGTCAGCTGAGGCTACAGGGAGACCCTGTCTCAAAAAGACCAAAAAGAAGAAAAAAAGAAAAGAAAGAATAATTATGTGCACCTATGCACCTATTACCTGCCAGGCACCTGATAAATTCCTACTTCCTAGCATCTATTTTGCACTACTAAAAGGTTATTTCCAATGTCCTGTTTATATTTCTAATTTTACAGCTATCACCCACCCATCCCAGGGCCTGGTCAATGCCTCTGAGTATTTTTGGTGAATGAATCAAAGTGCCCATAAAGTGTCAGGTGCTAGAGATGAAAATTACTCAGTTGTCCTTACCCTCAAGGATCTCGAGACCTACAGAGGAAGAAGGGGGGGGGTAAATAATTACACTTCAGGACAGAATGAAAAACACAATAAATAATGGCACTGGCAAAGGAAGATTCTGTGCTGTGATAAGGAAGAAATTGTGTGCATTGGCTTTATACAGAAAAACATGTTCGGTGCCCTGAACCCGTCTTGCAACAGCTTGTCAAACATGTACATTGGCCTTTCAAATAGCCTCACTTCTCAGTTCAGGGAGGGTAAGTGCATTTTCATCTCATTCTTTCTTTATAAAGTTAAGGTATGTTTCAGGAGTGAGGTCTTCTGCCAGTTGTTTTGACTCTTGCCAAACTAAACACAGCCAAGGAATGATGGAGGAAAGCCAAACAAAAATATATTACATCCACAATCTTTAAATTGCAATTGTGTATAGGTTCTGCAGTCCTCCTAATATTGGTTTTCAAGTATCTGATATGGTTAAAAATCAGAACACTGAGAAATTTGCTTTTTTTTTACTGTATGTTATAATTCTGAAATATATCATTGATACTGAATAAACATAGTTTGTTTTCTTCCCCCCACCCCCGTTTTCTTTTTTTAAAAAAAGATTATCAATAGACCTGCTCTAACTACAAAGGAATTTTCCCCTGTGATTAATTACTAAAATGATAGGTATTAAATAAATACAAAGAGATTTCTGTCTCAGAATTCAAAGGGGAAGTCAGTGGATTGAGAATGGGTGGGGAAAAGCCAGAATTCAGTAGGTGGTGGCACTCTGACTTCTGTTCTCAGTCCCTTCAAATTGCTTCTGAAAGGACATGAGCAAGACAGGGAAAGTACCTTCGCAGTTCATTCATGACCTTAAAGGCCTTTCCCATGTGGGCAGGGTTGACAGTGACTGTCTTTGGGTTCTTATCATCCTTATCCGGTATTGTTGGCTGAGAGCTCGGCTTGATGCTGTGAACAGGAAAGAAAAAGGAGAGGAAAGAGATCACATATTAGTAAACTCGGTTGTGCAACTTTCACAAGACCATGAATTTAACACACCCACAAGGGTGTCAGCCTGTTCTCACCAAAGGCCCAGCAAGGAAGGAAATGCACTAAGGGCATTTCGACCGGAGCTTTAGTGTGTTTTTCTGGAGGAAGTTAGGCTCTAGCTCAGCTTTTTCCGCCAAAAGTGCTATGACACTGTGAGAGGTCTTTATCCTCCATCCATTCCTTCCTCCCTCCCCAAAAGGGAAGTGGACTAAGCACTCCCATACTCAGTATATAGAGATGTTTGTTCAACATTTAATGAAGTCACGCTTCAGGTGCTGTATTTAAATTAAAGGGAAATACAACAGTAAACAAAGGTCAGTCCTTCTCTTCATAGAAGGAGAAGCATTCTGAGTCCATAGGCACTACAGAGGCACAAGGGGTGGTGCTGCCAGGACAGAATTTCCCAGGAACCAAGACCTAAAGAACAGAAAGCAGTCAGGTATAAAAGCAGACAGAGTATGTTCCTGGCAAAGGAAACAGTATGCACAAAGTGCTAAAGGGAAAAAAGAGAAAAGTATGTTCAAAGGGCTCACAGTTTAGTAAAACTAAAAGAGACACAGTAGAAAGGTTAGAAAAGTGGGAAGCCTGGATGCCTTCCTGGACCAGTGAACATGCATAAAAGGGGCAGAAAGCAAATGAACAAATGTGGACTTTAGAAAAATCTCATTGACTGGGGGATGGAGCACAGGGGCACACAAGTGAAAGATTCCATAGTATTAGAGGAGTTCGTAATTGTTATGGGAAGTAAGGGCTATTTGTGTGGCCTGTATGAATAGGTAGGGCCTAACAACCCACTGTCTCAACACCCTCTGTACCGAAATCAAGAGATACAACTTGAATAGGCTGCACTTTGATAGTAATAGGATGGAGGGATCAAAAGCGTGCACAAAAAAAAAGGATATTGCCTTCAAACAGACAAAGCCATTCAGTTCCAAGGTCCAATCTAGAACCTCGGACTTAACTCTATTTAGACCAGACTATGCTTTGTGAGTAGGGCAACTGAAACTTTTCCATTTGTGCACATTTGGGGACTGACCACTTATTCCAACTCTAAAACCTTCAGGGTGGTCTCCTTTGACCTCCGCTAGTCAAGGGGACCTTTGTCAATGCTACCGTCTCATCTTGCAAACTGGCTGGAGACAGGAGATGCTATAGTTAGCAGAATGATCCAAAGACCTGAGAGCCTTTAGAAATCTAAAGATCATTGGGATTCACAGCGATCAGAACATTCAAAAATAACTTAGCACGCCAGACCCACCGCTAGTCTGACTGTAACAAACTCTTCCTTTGGCTTCCTTCCCTACCTTTAGTTCAGCATACAAATAAACTTTAGGACTGCTTGGAGTCTTTGTACAAGCAAATCAGCTAAGCAGAGGAAGATCAATATGAGGAGATGCAAAAAATGATTAGAATTATGTATTTAAGCAGGTAAAAAAGAAAAATTCTCAAGCCAGGAAATGAGATCAGAAAGAGGATGCACCCTTTCTGGGACTTTTGTAAAAGATAAATAAATAAATAAATAATCCCAGAAAGCTACAACTGGCCAAAGCGTAGAGAGTAAGAAACTGCAGAGAGCTTATCCTCAAACAGGAGGCCTATATCAAACCTCTGCCACCAAAGGCTCAGGGACCATTGTGGAAGAGGTGGGTCGGAAAGATTGTAAGAGCCAGAGGTGTTGGATGACCACAAGGAAACAGTGTTCCATTCAGCTGGGGAGTTACTCATACGCACTCACAACAATGGTGACACCATGTACAAGACCCAAGTAAGCTCAAGACAAACAAAATCCCAGCAGAGAAGTGAGGGAGTGAGTAAGAAGCCCCAATCTTAGAGGATCTATTGGCAATTGATAACTACTGGGAGAGGGAGAATTGCTTTTCTTTAATGATGAGACATCTAGTTAGACAGGCTCCAGTGGATGGATGCACACACATAAGGGTATTTTGGGACCCAAACTTGTCTCGGTAGGCCTCAACATATATGACAGAGCACATGAAATTCAGCAGGGGCACTATGAAAGGAATGAAGGTAGGGGAAGATGTCTAAATATGGTAAAAATATAGTGTATGACATTTGCAAAAATTTAATAAAAAATTTTAAAATGATAAAAAAGTAACGCTATGTAACAATAAAAATGAATGAAACATGAAAAAAGTCCCACAAACATTATCTTTAATATGAGTTAGGGGTTTTCCTCCTCCAAAGCCAGGAAGATATTTTCTACTCTCTACTGAAGTTCAACCTTTTTACATTTTTTAGGTTTGTTTTTATTTTTTTTATTTATGTAAATGTGTGAGTGGGGTGGGGACTATGTATACAGGTGCCCTCAGAGACCAAAGGCATTGGCTCCCCCTGAAGCTGGAGTTGCAGTCAATTGTAAGTTGCCTGATGTGGGTGCTGGGAACCAAACTCAGGTCCTCTGGAAGAGTAGTACATGCCCTTAACCACTGAGCATCTCTCCACCTTCCAAGCTTTCAGTTTTGATATTTACTTCCTTATTTTATTAGATATTGAATTTTATATCATGATGTCAAATAGTGATCCAATTTTTCCTATAAGCTCTATTTATTAATGCTGATGTTTCCCCCACTGTCACGCCATCTTAGGTCACAAAGCTCTAATTATACAGGGAACTATTTTTGTGCTCTGTAGCCTACTGCATACATTAATTTGTACCAATACTACATTATTTCTGGAGTCTCATAATGTCTCATATCTGGCAGAATAAGTCCTCAGTCTTTCTGTTATTCCTGTCAATTTCTGCAAGAAGTCATGAGGGGCATTTGATAGAAACTATATTGAATTTAGACATCAATTTGGATAGAACTAATATTTCTTTGAAAATATTACTTCCTCTCCATGAACAAGGGATATTTTTCTAATTAGTTAGGTCCCTTTTAATGTCACTCAAACTTCTGTATTTTTCTTTATGGGACCTCACACATTTAAGAGATCTGCTTGTTATGATAGAAATCACATCTTTTTAAAAGTATATTTGCCGATTGCTGCAATTTATGAAATGCAGTTAATCTTTGTACACTTATCCTCCGGCCAGCCTCCTTACCTAATGATCTCATAACTATCTGAGCAGAGATTCCATAAGATGTTCTTTGTAGAAAAACAGCACCTGCATACAATACCAGAGAGTGTTTTCCTCCTTTCCAACTGTTGGGCCTATAACTAATTTCTCCCTCCCCCTCCCCTACCTGTGTGTGTGTGTGTGTGTGTGTGTGTGTGTGTGTGTGTGTGCGTGTGTGCGTGTGTGCATGTGTAAGGAAAAGAGTGAGAGAAAGAGAGAGATAGTGGGAATTGAACCTAGGGCCTCATGCATCCAAGGAAATTTCTCTCTGTGCTATAACCCTGGACACACACATCCCCACCCCTCATTTGCTTTGTGTGTGTGCGTGTGTGTGTGTTTAATTTTGAAATAGGGTCTCATTAAGTTACTCAGGCTGGACATAAACTCACTCTGTGTTCTAAGTAGGCTTTGAACATATGATATTGTTGCCTCAACTTCCCAAGAAGCTTGGAATATAGGCCTCTACCACCAGGTCTAGCTTCCAATTTCTTTATTGAAAGAAATTTTGCACTGACTAATATGGCCAGACAATGCCAAACAGAAAGAGTGATAGTGAATGTTCCTGTCAGTACTGATTTTCCAAGATGTTCTAGTGTTTCCCGTTGTATGTGTCTATTACAGAATTTTGGCACATGCACTTTATCAGTTAAGGAAATTTTCTAGTCAGGTGTGGTGGCTGTACTGGACAGCTTTAGTTGTCAACTTGACATACCTGGGTAGAGGGAGCCTCAATTGGTGAATTGCTTCTATTGGGCTGGCCTGTGGCCATGTCTGTGGGGCATCTTCTTGATTATTGAGTGATGTGGGAGGGCCCAGCCCACTATGGATGGTGCCACCCCTGGGCAGGTGGGCCTATATTGTATAAGAAAGCAGGTTAAGCAGGAGCCAGGGGGGCAAGCCAGTAAGCAGCATTCCTCCATGGCCTGTGCTCCAGCACCTGCCTCCAGGTTCCTGCCCTGAGTTCCTACCGTGGACTCCCTCAGAGATGAACTATTACCCGGGAGATGTAAGACAAATAAACCCTTTCCTCCTGAAGTTGGTATTGGTCAGAGTGTTTTGTTACAGCAATGGAGAAACAAACCAGAACAGTGGCACAAGCCTGTAATCCTGTCATTTGGGAGGCCGAAACAGGAGGAATATGAGTTTGAAGCCAGCCTGGGTTACATAGTGAGATTCTGTCTCAAAAAGGGAATGGAGGAGGAGAGGAAAGGAGGGTTGAAGGAAGGGAAGAGGAGGGAGGGGCAAGATTCAGTTCTATTTTTACTGAGTCTTTTAAATAATAAAGTTATATTACATTTTATCAAAAATTAAATATCTAATGAGATGATGAAATACAGAATTTTCCCTTTAATTTTTATGTAAATAGTACATATTTTAATACAGAACCATATTTATTTATTTCTAGGATAAATATGGAAACTGCAAAATACTGTAAAAATATCTGTTATAAATTTTGTTTTCGAACTCTGGAGATACTTAAAAGCCAGAATAGGATGAGGTCATTAGAATGAATCAAGGCACTACCGAAAGCTCTGGATAGGTAACTAATAAATAGAATAGAATTGAGAACGGCTATTAGTACCACTTTACAAATGTGCACCGTGAACAGACTAGATAGAGCTGTTTTGGAATTAATGCCAGAGTTTCTGTTGTGACTAATGGGCAGAAAACTTTACCCTTTCTGCTAGTCCCCTTTCACTCCCTGGCCATCCAAAATGATCCAATAATACATTTATATTATATTATATTATATTATATTAATATCCCTGTCAATGCATGTTGTATTTGCCAAGGGGTCTCAAATATGGATTGCCTAGTATTAAAGGACTAAACTCCAATA